AGCACCCCCGGGGCACCCCCACCCTCCTGGGGGTGCCCTTGTCATCCCGGGAGCATCTTCACCAGCCCTGGAGCATCCCTGCTATCTCTGGAACGTCCCCAAAAAGTCCACGCCATCCCAGAAGCATCCCCAGAGCATCCCCACCATCCCAGGAGCATCCCTGCCATCTCCAGAGCATCCCTGACTTCTCTGGAGCATCCCCACCATCACAGGAGAATTCCCACCATCCCAGGAGCATCCCTGCCATCTCCAGAGCATCCCTGCCTTCCCTGGAGCATTCCCACTATCATGGGAGCATCTTCACCATCCCAGGAGCATCCCTGCCTTCCCTGGAGCATTCCCACCATCATAGGAGAATTCCCACCATCATGGGAGCATCTCCACCATCCCTGGAGCATCCCTGCCTTCCCTGGAACATTCCCACCATCCCTGGAGCATTCCCACCATCATAGGAGAATTCCCACCATCATGGGAGCATCTCCACCATCCCTGGAGCATCCCTGCCTTCCCTGGAGCATTCCCACCATCCCTGGAGCATTCCCACCATCCCTGGAGCATCCCCACCATCACCCTGCCTTCCCTGGAGCATTCCCACCATCACGGCAGCACCTCCACCACCCCAGGAGCACCCCAGCTACCTCGGGAGCATCCCCACCACGAGCCACCTCCATCTGTACTCACCCTGTGGGGCTGCTGGGCACGGAGCCAGCCGGGGTGTCCTTGGTGGGGGGTTCCTCTGGGGTGCCAGGGGACCCTGGCAGTGGCTGGGGGTCGGGGCTGGGGTCTGGGCAGCCACCCTGGGACCTCCACCCACGCCGACCTTCCTCCGTCCTCCTCCTCTCCTTGCGTGTCCCCGGGGGTGGCTCCTCCACCCCATCCTCCAGCTTCAGGGCACTCTGTGGGATGGGTGGAAGGGCTTGGAAGGGTTTGGAAGGGGGGGAGGACAGACAGGCCACCCCTGCCACCCTACGTGTGTCCCCAAGGCTTGGGTGTTGCCCCAAACACGAGGTTGTGGACACAGTGGCCCCCCCCCTCCTTGGTCACC